CTCCAGCAGTTGACTCTCCTATCTCCCATATCTCCAGTGTATCACTTTCTACTAATTTTTTTCCTCAGCCAATAAAATTACTTTAAATTTTCCAACCTACATAAATAAATAACCCTTCTAAGACCCCAACTATAGAAATAAGTACCTTTGAAACTACTACTTCTAATGAGTATTTGTTGAACCACACTTCATAAAAGAATATTTAACATATGCTGCCTCCACCTCCTTCATCTCCTTCCTTGGTTTCCAGAAATGTTGGCCACCCCCAGGAAGTGCAAAATATAAAACTCCCTCAGTGGCAGCCATTTTTATAAGTCAAAGAAGTTGACAAACTGGGTGCTTTGTTGATTGCTGGAATCTTAAGGACCGATCATTTATCTGATGTGCATCCAGAGAGCATTCATAAATCTGTTACGAAGTCTAGTTTTCACAAATGTGTTCTGCTGAATCACTTGAATGAGCTATGAAACTGTGAACCTAAACTCTGCCTGATTTTTATTGGCTCTCTCTTGGTTTTCTCATTATATTATTCTTAACATAATAATGCTGACTACTTCTGCCTTTTTATAGTTACAAAATAACTTTGGTGGCTGTGACAGTATTTAACTTATCATGGAAACAGTGGTATGTTCAGTGATGAAATAAATAAAAAATGGCTGGTTCCACTTTTCATTATCAGTGGAATAAGCAGTAGTGACATGAAGGATTTGAGATAAGGAAAGTTACTGTGAGTCTGTGTCTTCCCTGGGATGGTTATTCCCCAGCACCACATCCTCTGAGGATAAGAGAGACCTGAGTCACTTTGGCAAAACACTTTGTAAGTAGGTATTTTCACAAAGGCATGGAGCACCATGAGTTTCAGTTGCAAGTGTAACATAATTATACATCCAAGTTTCACTATCTAGACTATATTAAGAATGCCAGTGGTATTGGAAAGTTCTAATTCTTGCCAATTTTTACTCTTAGACCACTTCTGTAGCTAATGTATTGTAGCAAGCATTATCCTTCAAGGAAAAATCCTAAACGTTCCTAAAGGTAGAGGTGAAACAATAATTGAATTAAACTGTTAAGATACAGAAGAATAATTTTTCCTACCAGATACTTATTTGGCTTTTTGAAGCTTTTTGTTCTTGACCATTTGTAACACATAATTAGAACAACAGATTGTCAAAGACAGGATGGAATGAAAGGCAAGGTCTAGGACACAGGTGGCAAACACAAGGCCTGTGGGCGGAATCCGGCCCTCCACCTTGTTTCTTCCTGGCAGCAGCGCTGAGCTCCTTGCTGCTAGTTAAGTAGTACTGATTTTTTTGGACTATAAGACGCACTGGACCATAAGACGCACCTAGGTTTTAGAGGAGGAAAATAGGACAAAAATTTTTTGAAGCAAAAAGTGGTAAAATATTTAATAACATAGATAACATGGGCCGCCACCTCCCACCCCCCATAGTGAGCCAGGTAAGCTACATTCGGACTATAAGATGCAACCCCATTTTCCTCCCAAATTTGGGTGGGGAAAAGTGCATCTTATAGTCCAAAAAATACAGTAGTTACGTTTATACAGTCCTAAAATTACATTAGGCCCTTTGAAGGCCATCAAGAGGCTGATGTGGCCCCCGGTGAAAGTGAGTTTGACACCGCTGGTCTAGGAGTGGTGCAGGGTGAGTAGCTGTACACAACTAGATCATTTTGTATATCTAGACTCACTCCAAATTTAAGGAACACAATTATATTAGTATTTATATTTAAAAATAGCATTTCAAACTTCAAAGAACATTGGCATGCATTATGAAATTGTATGCATTACTCACAAAATGTTTTCATTCGCAGCTTAAATTAACCTGAGCTAGAAAAGGTGATACAGCCAGTCTTCTGTCCCGTAGCTCAAATCTCTCTCCTCCATGCCATATATATGCATGCATTTACTTTCTTCTGTGGCCTTTATTAGTTTCCATCCCTTAAATGAGAGGAGAGACAGACAGAAGGGGAAGAGAGAGAGACAGAAGGGGAAAGCCAGACTTGTTATTAGAATTAAATGGCATACAAAGCTAGTGATACTTTTAAAGAGTTTTGCAAGTACACACAAATGCTAGAAAGAGCCCTGCAGTAATAAACAAGAAACTGGCACCACTATGTATTTTTCCAAAATAGATTTTTTAGTAATCAATTTTTAAATTTTATTTTATTTTTGACCTTAGAGAGATGGAGAGGGAGGGAGAAAGAAAGGGAGAGAAACATCAACTGGTTCCCTTCTACACACCCCCTGACCAGGGACCAAACCTGAAACCCAGGCATTGCCCTGACCAGGAATCAAACCAGCGACCTTTTAGTTAGTGGGATGACCCCCAACCAACTGAGCCATACTGGTCAGGGCTAATGACCAACTTTTAAAAGTGAAGTAACTTTCACTAGCTATTAGGGAAATGGAAACCAAACCATGAGAAACCATCTCACAGCTGTTAGAATGGCTACTATCAACAGTACAAGTAGTAAGTGTCAGAGAGGTTGTGGAGAAAAAGGAACCCTCATTCACTGCTGGTAGGAATGTAAACTGGTACGGCCACTATGGAAAACAGTATAGAGGTTCCTCAAAAAATTAAGAATAGAGTTACCATAAGACCCAACAATCCCTCTTCTGGGTATCTATCCAAAACATTTGAAAACACTTATTTGAGAGATATATATACCCCTAAGTTCATTGCAGCATTATACATGATGCCCAAGACATGGAAACAACTGAAGTGTCCTTCCATACATGATTGACTAAAGAAAATGTGGTACATATATACAGTGGAATACTACTCAGCCATCAAAGAAGATGAAATACTGCCATTTGCAACAACATGGATGGATATTGAGAATATCACACTAAGTGAAGTCACATGGAAAAGCCAAGAACCGTATGATTTCACTCATGTGGGATATAAAACTGAAAGCAACAAATGAGCAAACAAGACAAAAAAACAAAAACTCATAGACAGACAAGAGTATGGCTGTTGCCAGAGGAAAAGGGGGATGGGGGGAGGTAGAAAGAGTAAAGGGGGTCAAATGTATGGTGATGGAACGAGGTTTGGCTTTGGGTGGTGAACACACAATGCAATATATAGACAGTGTATTATAGAATTTTACATATGAAACCTATATAATTTTATTAATCAATGTCTCCCCAACACATTTAATAAAATTTTTAAAATAAAAGTAATAAAAGTGAAGAAAGTTTACATAATGTAGTGAAAAGAAATCAGGTTTGATACCAAGTTTCTAACTCATACTTTACTTACAGCCTACACTTTAGTGTAAGTTACCAAATATTATTAAAAGAGCATTAAACAAAACTAAGAAAAAAGGGTAACCTTAAAGTGTTCCACAGGTACAAGAAATGGTTTAAAGGAATATTCTATTAAATGTGTTTTCATGAAAGGATCTAATAGCATGCAATTATTTTGTAATTACCTTTCAGCTCCTTGCTATGTAATTATTCATTTGGTTATATGTGGTTTACAAATTAGTACCCCCAAAGATCTAAAAAAAAATTACCAGAACATGGTGATTATCCTTAGAGTTACATGGTTTCTCAAAGGGTAATTGCCATTTAATTTGCTAGGTCTGAATTCATATCATGACCTCATGGTAATTCTTGTACTTGTGAATGACCTGCGTGGCTGTAGGAGCCCCCAAAATGTTGTGTGTGGCTGGAGTATAAGAAAGCATGGAACAGGTGCGGCTCCAAAGTGGTGAGTGCTGTGCGTTTGTGCATGTCCCTGGCTTTGTAAGGCTCACTATAAATATTTTTGACGGCACCTGTGCATATGTTCATGGACATGTGTAAACATACATCTTCAGGTGCCTTAGGTCTCCCACAGTTTGACTGACTTCATTTTACCCAATTAAGGGTCACTTTTAAAAAGACACGCCCATTTGTTAGACTTATTAGATGGTCAATGGAAGAGAAACATAAATGTCTCGCCTTCCTTTTAAAGTCAAGAGCAAAAGTAAAAACAACCTTCATTAAACACAAGAAGTGAAAGCATACAGTTTAGGAGGGAGAGCAAGAAAGACTCCGGACACCACCTAAGGTCCTGAAGCATCAGAGAGCTGTGTGGGTAGCACGAAGTCTGCCCTGCGTGTGTAGGTGTGGTACAACAATATGTGCTTCTGGGAGGGGCAGTGCAATCCACCACTTGGGCCCAAGCTGTGGTGTGTTGAAGCCACCGCCAACTGGCTAGTGAGAAATGATTGTTAAATATTCAAGAATTTTGCAAACGGGTTGTGAAACTGTTGGAATCTTGAAATCAGCCATGGTGGGATTATTTACACCCTGGAAATTGGCAAAACACTGTAAGCCAAGGTTTTCCCCTCTGCCCCAGAGAGCCAATTTACTAGCATACAGCGAGTTCAAATATTAAAAGAACACTTTAATGAAAAAGCCTACTTTTCTAATAATTCCTAGTTTTCTAATAATTCTCCCTACTCACCAACTCTTAAACTTTAACCCTTCCCCTGAGTGACTCCAAGTCTAGTTTCTCTTCTTTCATTAGTCTCTTCCAATCCATGCAGAGATGATTACAACTGAACACTAATTTGTAGGAAGCCCATATTTGAATATTAATAATCAAGAGTACAGATTTGAATTTGACTCCAGCTCAGACAATCTGGGTTTGAATCCACAGGCCTGTATTTACCAGATATGAGGTTTAAATAGTACTCACTTTTTTATGCTTCCATTTTCCTATTTGTGAAAGAGGCATAATAGTTCTCACCTAAAGGAGTTGCTGTGGGAATAATATCTTCCCTATAGGGTTGTTTAGGGGATTAAATGACTTATCATATGTAAAGCATTTGGAACTCTGGACATAGAAAGCCCTTCACTTGTATTTGTGATTGAGAAGGTTATCATGTCTACCTGGCACACTGTAGACAGGCACTAAATTATAATTTATTCTGTTCTTTTTGCAATTCTGTTATTATATAGAAATGGTTTAAAACACCTTTTTCTTCAGGGGCTACAAGGCTGATGTCTCCTGGGCTGCAGCCTGGTCATGTGGAGAGTTCCTGTTGTCACATCTGATGCCATATTCTGCGAGTGACGCTTTAGCTTTGAAAATGAGCAAGTACAAAGTGGTGTGGTCCAGGACAAGGAGGTAGGTGACCCATCCTTTCTTTGAACTGACAGCACACTGCCTGTAACACTCAGTGTATAAAAACGGCATGATTTCATTTTGTATTCCCACAGGATTCCATTTGAGCCTAGGGTACCATGGTGATAACATTACATTACTGTTTTGTGGTTGGACTGAGATGGGGGGCAGTAAGAATGGTCTTGCCCATTGCTCCTCAGTTGCTTCTCTGCCCTCTCTCTACAATAGTGGTCCTGTGTTCAGTAGCACTCTGATTGCAGAGCGCCCCAAGAGATGGGACAGAATCAGTGGGGCCCATCCCATGAGCATGCCAATGCCAACAGGAAGGGGGAGAGGAGGTGTCTCACTGGCTCACACTCCATGGACAGAGCCAGCTTGGCATACCAACTCCTTGGCCTCTGTGGACTAAGTCCTCCAGGGCCTCCAAGTAAAGCCTCTTCCCACAAAGCTCAGCCTCATTAACAGAGGGATTATTAGCTCTGAAAAATACAATATGTCACAGCAGGTGTGCAAATTGGCCATTAGACTCCACAAGTGAAAACATATTCATGAATGAGGCTCTGTAACCACAGACGCAAGAGGCCTGGTTGCGTATTTTGCATAGAGTGGCCCCTAATACAGTATATGGTTTCAATGTGGCTTCTTGAAAATCTCTAAAAATATGCTGAAACTATGCCTACCAATAATTTCTCTGGTGAATTGTGACGGTCTCTTAGATTACAGAATTTATGCAAAAATAACACCAGCCTGTCAAAACTCTATTTCCACAAGAGTCAAGAAATAGAAGGTAACATTCCATTCTCTAAAATCCCAAGTTAGTTGTATATAGTTTTTCTATTTTTGTTTTTTGCCTGTAGTCTTTAAGAAGTTTTTTTTTCTTGTTTCAGTACATATAATATCAATCTGCCATGATGACCAGTTGAATAAGAAAAAGAAAGAGGAGCAGGATGAAGGGGAAAAGATTCATGGCCAACAGCCATTGGGAGCTTAGCATGTGTGAGAATCCATGCTAGTAGTTTATACCCACCACTTCATGAATACATATAACAACCTGTGAGGCACACTGCATTATCAGCTCTGTTTTACAGAATGAGAAGTTGAATCCCAGAGGGGTGAATGAACCTGTCCAAGGTCACAGAGATTATCAGTGGTATAGGATTCAAAGATAGGCCCTCTGACCTAAGAACTTTATGCTTAACCATTGTACTTTATGTTCAGAAGCATTTTGAATTCTGGGATTGAAATAAAGGAACACATGATTACAAGTTGGTATCATTAAATATATTAGAATACATAAACCACATCTCTGGAAAATAAAAACAATAGCCCTGATTTTCCATGTTTGTTCATTTCCATGGTGTAAATATTCCCACTGTGGTTCATTTCAAACTGCCGATGGTTTAGTACTGAGCTTTTACCACTGCTGCATATCATTGACTAAAAGTGTGATAAGATGTGTCTGATGTAGGTTTAAGAGAATTACATCCTGGGCTCTAGTACCTCTTTACTTACATGCTGCTGTAGCAAGACTGTCTTTTTGAGCTTCAAATTCCTTCCTCATCTGCAAAACAAAATTTGAGAGAATCAGTTTGCCTTCATTTTTGTTTTCCTTTAAAGTCTTAGGAAGGGTTTATAAAATGAGCCTTGACAGTTTTGAAAGTATAGTATGTTTTGTTAACTGTGAAAATGGAATCTGCTAGTCACTGAAAAGGTCACTTTTGGAGAAGAAAGATTGTTTCAAGTTTACTGAAATTCAGTAAACATAGTCATCTCTTTTGCTTCTCAGCTCTTTGCCTTGTCGAAGCACTTCTTGAACTGATTTTATTAGTGGGTAATAGTTGGAACAGAGACAATCAAAGTCACTTTGTGATTTCACCTGAGAGTATTTTGATTTTTCTGTGGCAAAGTTCCTTAAGCTAGGATATTTAATACAGTTAGTTTCCTTTGTATTCCTATTTATTATATTGCATTTGTATATATAGGCATTATTGAGAAGTGACCAAACTTCACAAGACTGCAAGAGAGTGTAGGATCAAAAATTAAAAATAAAAAAAAATTTAAAAAAGGATGTGTAGATATCAAAACAGAGATTTCCAAGGGCTTAAGAACAGTTTCACCTTTATCTGTGCTGGAGACGGCGGATTTCTAGCAAAGGCACAAAGAGCCAACCCTTCGCGGGCCTCACTCTCCAAGGCAAAGGATGCCTCATTTTTCTAAAATGTATCTAAAAGTAAATGAAGTTTATTAGTTATTAAATACACATAGAGTTTTGATTTTCATAAACATTCATTTTTCCCACATACATACCCTTTTTAAATTCTTTGCTACTTAGGGTTTAACTGAATATTGATAATTGAGAATTAGCCTTCTTTCAGTCATTGGGAAGCTATTATTTCAGGATAGTCTGCAGTGAAAGAAACACTTGATGTTCTCATGTTGGAAACTTGGATATCTCCAAGCTTTCTTCTCCAACAGGAAGATGTCCTTCAGCATTCCCTCATTCCTTTCACAAATAATGAAGACATGCCACGTGCCAGGCAGAGCAAAGGCCCAGGGCCATCAAATGAATGAGGTATGCCCCTGCCCTGGAGCACTGCGGGGATTCCAGGGGAACAGAAAGTCACAACACAAGGTGGCCAGTGCTGAAAGAGAGAGAGGAGTAAGGAGCTGTGGAGGGCATGACTGCCCACTGGCTGTACCACCCCCAGCTGTAGAGGACACGTGGGTGTATCACAGATATATAGACTTTCTCTATTAAAATCATTTCCTTTTTGTTGATTTGTATAGAATTGTAACAGTAAAGATAAATGTAATGACTCATTTTTATTTTTTTATTCTTGAGTTCAACTAAAATGCATACAGTACATATGCATTTTCAAATTCACATGTGCAAAAAGGAATATTGCATATTCTATCAGTAGTTCTCTATGTTGGATACAGGGTAGAATTAATTACCTAGGGGTGGTTTTTAAAAATACCAGTGTTTGGGCCACTTTTTCCTTGGTGGGCAAGGGCTCAAGAAAATTCATGAGCAAAGATAGGATGTACTGAGGAGGCTGAGAGATGCTGCCAGAGTCTGTGCTGCCCCAGGGACCCACACTGATCACCCACATTTGTGGTACATGCTGGCTTTAGGGTATTCTAGGTTAAGACTTACGTACCCCACTGGGTGGTTGGTACCATTAGCCTAGACCACCTGCCATCTGATGAAAGACAGGAGCCCCTCTTGAAAGCCCCCTTGACCCTTGGAAATGATTTCCCATCTGGAGAGTTGGTGCTTGAAATTCCCCAATTAGACAGCTGTACCTTTTCTAGAAGCTTTTTTTTTTCCTTAAAAATATATAAGTACCTCTGAGGAATTATACTGTTATATCTAAAGAAATCCAAAACACTAATTTGAAAAGAAATGTGCATCCCTATGTCCAATGCAGCATTATTTACAATAGCCAAGATATGGTAGCAACCTAATTGTCCATCCACAGGTGAATGGATAAAGAAGATGTGCTATGCATATAGAATGAAATATTACTTGGCCATAAAAATGAATGAAATCTTACCACGGTGACAAACAAGAATGGATCTAGAGGGTATTATGCTAAATGAAATAAGTCAGACAAAGAAATACAAATACCATATGATTTCATTTATATGTGAAATCTAAAGAATACAGCAAGTGAACAAATAAAAATGGGAACAGACTCCTAGACACAGAGAACAGACTGATAGCTGCCAGAGGGGAGGGAGTTTGGGAGAATAGGTAAAAAAAGTGAAGGGATTAAGAAGTACAAATTGGTAGTCACAGAACGGTCATGGGGACGTAAAGTACAGCATAGGGAATATAGTCAATAATATCGTAATAACTATGTATGGTGCCAGGTGGGGTACTAGACTTCCCAGGGTTTCACTTTTGCAAGTTATATAAATGTCTAACCACTAGACTGTACACCTGAAACTAATATAATATTGAATGTCAACTGTAATTGAAAAATAAAAAAAATACTAGTTATTGGTTATTGTATCATTTGGAACTCATTTCCTAAAAGCAGGTTTTGAAAGACAAGGTGGCAAGGTGAGTTTATGAAACTTGGATTCTCTAATGAGAGCTGGAGAAGCTGCTGCAGAGAGGCCCTTGTGTGGCTCTCTCCAGGGAACATCCCTCAGTGAGGCCCACAGCTCACCCCTGCCAGCCCCCCGCCTCAAACTAGAATCAGTTTTTTTTCAGTGTCACTTAACACATACAGTACTTCCACAATTCTGAGGATGATGCTGTTTCATCTAGTTCTGACCTCACTGTTTGCTATCTACAAACTTCTTTAGAGCAAGATTCATGTCAAGAGAACTGAATAAGAAGCAAACAGAAAAATAAAATTCACAGAACACAAATGGGTAAAGGCATCACCAAATCCACAGAGCGAGTGGCCTAGGTCAGTGTGGTCCTCCTCTGTATGCTGCTCATACAATGTGCACAGGTCATCCTGGCTCAGAACCATAAGCCCCTGTCCTCAGAGAGGCTGGCCCCAGATTGCCCAGCAGAGCACTTAGCGCTTTCTGAGTGCCCTGGAAACGCTGAGGATGTGAGCTTGTCTTTGGAGGATGCCTCCTCAGAGGAAGGTGCTATGCAAATAAATACTGGTATTGTTATTCTTTTAGCACAAATTCATAATTGAGTTTCTGTTAAACATTGCAGTGAGTTAAATTAATTCAGTATGATTACAGTCATTAAACAAATGCCTGGTAATGACTGCCTTCTTATTTTAGCATTCCTCAACTCACTGGGGTAATACCATATAAGGCTTCTGTTCCATTGTTAGATTAATTGGGGTGCAGAACCTGCATTTTGCAATAGAGCAGTACACTGCTTTATAGCAACTGGACTGCGATTGAAGGCTACTGCTGGAATAATTTACCTTCCAGTTTTTCCTATAGCTCTTACCATTCCATTAGGTACAATTTCCTAGTTCATTACAGCATACAAGTAGCTTAAGGCAACTTATACCTGTTAAAAAAAGAAGTGTGATTTTAAAACCAAAACACGGACAGGCATTCTCCCACAATTATTTTTTTTTTGACACTGAAACTAACCCAAAATGATAGGAAAGTGATCATTTTAACCAGTTATCCTATGGATATGGTCATCCCAAGAATTACCTGCCAATTTAGCAAGCAGGACAGAAATAGTTAAGTCCTGAGGCTGTGAGTTAAAGACTCCGCCTGAGAGAAAAGCAGTGTAAGATGTCTCGGCCAGGTGTGCAGGATCGCTACCCAGTGTGGAGGGAGAAAGGCTGCCATCCTTAGCCATGTGTCACAATCCTGGTCATCTGTCTGGTGCCATCTCAGCCACTGGCCTGATTCTGTAGAGTACATTGAATGATAACACCCTGCAAGTCAGCTGACTGCTGTGTCATAGCTGCTGCTTTCTGCAGTATCGCAACTGCCAGAGCTCCAGTCCTGCAGTTTCCCAGTCGCAATGCGGCAGAGCCAAGGCAGACGACTAGGCACAGAGCGACCGAATTTTAAAGTGTTCTTTCCTGCTACCACTTAGCCTTTCGCATATGAGGAGTATTTACCTTTGCGTAGCCAGCAGCAGAGAAGCAGTCTGAATGTACACGATGGCTTCTAACTTGGCAGCGTGAATTTTCAGCAGAGCAGGTACTGCTCGGAGCCTTGTAGCCAAACTGCCTGGCGGAGTGCGGCTGGTTTAACTCCACCAGCGGGAATAGTTTGGGGGCTTCTCATGCCACGCAGCTAGACCTGCAGGAATAAAGGCTAGGACAAAGGAGGCGATGCTTGCCACAGTGGGTCTGGCCGGGGCCTGTGCAGGCAACTCCACCGAAGTGATGCTGTGTGACTCTCCTAGCTCACAGCTAAGGCTGGTCCCAGGAGCTGGCGCAGATCCCCAGTCCTCAGTTAGAACACGGTTTAAAGGAGAAGCCAGACTCACTGACCTAAATCAATCCCAGTCCTCTCTGGATGCGGGGGCAGCTGTCGACTAGCAGTGACCCAACCAGCCATCAAGTGGAGCATCGCTGTGACTGCAGTATGGGTGCAGGTAGAGCTGGGAGAATGGCAGTCTAATTTCGGTCATCCGATGGCTTCTTCTTATTTTCCTAAATAATCGTGCTCGCTAAGTGTACAGTTGCCTGGATTGGTCTGCCTTCCGTGCAGGCTTCATCTGCTCTGGCTGCAAGTCAGGGTGCCAGGCAAGCCTGCGTTACCACTGGCTCCTTCCTGCGCGATGCTCGCTGTGCCACTAGGACGGGTCACACTGACAACAAAGAAGGAAGCAGAAAGCATCACTGTCTCTTCTCTTGTGATGTTAGCGGAACCTAACTCTTCTTCGCAGTGATGCCCGTGTGTGGGTGTGTGTATGTGTGTGTGCTTTAATTCATCTGATCGAACAGCCTCACAGATATCATCATGGATGTGGTTTTAATGATTTGGAAAATAAAAAAAGACAGCCTGTGGAGACAGCCATTTGAGACAGCAGCACATTTAGGTTAATGCCAATTCGAAATACTTTGGTTTGTGAAGCCAAGCCCTAAGGGACAAGCTCGGTAACTGAGAGAGAGATCGTAGATAAAGAAATAAAAATGACAAGCATAATGGAGGCTCTCTGAAGACACTGTCAGAGCATCAGCTCATGGATGGCAATTTCGCCAGGCTGAGAGTGAATAATTCATAGATTGAAATTACCCTGCTTTCACCTTTCCATTTAAATCGGCATGATCTGAATCTCTAATAAATTTTCAAGATAAAGTAAAATGCCAATTTGAATCTGAAGAGCTTTTTTAAAGCCAGATGCTGCATCTCCGAATCTTTCGGTACCTTTCACAATTATCCTGTGAGAACTGCTCTTCATCACGAAGCACCATTACCAGGGAAAATTACTGTGATTACAATAGCAACAATAGAATCCCATCAAATGATCTCTAATTTACTTAATTTGCTAAAACTGACTGTGTGGCTTTAATGCCCATTGTCTGTCACCATGCCGGGCACCCGTGGATCTATCTCAAGCTGGAACAAAAGTGAGGCAGCAGCGTATGTGATACCTTCAGTCTGAAAGCCTAGCTAAGAACATTCTCCTAGGTTACCATGTCTCTTCCATTTCGTTTGCATTTTTGTGGTCTTTGTTTTTTTTTTTCCTTCCAAAGCCTGTACCCCAAATGCCTGTTTGGAGAAATGGTGAGCCTGTTGTGGATTTGGGGTTGATTTGTTGATAACAGGAGAGCATCATGTTGTTAATTTATATACTCTCTTTATTGTTAACGTATACAAGCATGTGTTTACCAGAAGGGAGGAAAGATTCTGTTCTGGGAGAGTAGTTTAGAAAGGCAGCCAAGATGCAGGTTATGTCTTTGTCTCTTTTTTGAAATCCCTGTCTGCTTTCAGATTAGAAGTCCTTTTAGGGAATTATAACCCTTGTGTGATGTGTTAAAAACTTTGCAGATTGAAAAGCAGCTCGAGAGTCACATCCAGTAACAGCTCTCCTGCAGTCCTTATTAAAGGCATGTATGTTCAACTGGGTGATTAAATGAAGCTTTGGTACAACTTGGCTTGTTATGTCTTCTTGCTCTCTAGCAGGAGTCTCGCCTAAAGGGAACTTTTTCTCTGACGGGCTGCGCGGTTCATCTCAGGGTAATTCTGTACCCTTAAAAGGGGCATGGTTCAGGAAGCCTCACTGGAGAATCGACTGTAAATATTTAAGAGGTACAATGACTTCTGGAATTACTCGCAGTAGCATGAATCCAGTATGTGGGTCCCACTAGTTGAGTGATTGAAGTTTGATGACCCGAGGTAGGATTTCTGAGAGGTGACCATCCTTGGGAAGAAGGTAGGTCTGAAACATACCTGTCTCATGCAGAGTTTCTGCTTGCAACTCAGAGCTCTGATGGACTCCTTAACCTGCTCTCCGACTTGACCCCTTCCTGCATCTCCACAAATGCCTTTGTCAGAGGAGGTAAGTTGTATTTCTAGTCAATTGTACAATAGATGATATTCTCCATTGTCTTGTTTCAGAGGGTATATGCTTTTTGTGCTCTACTTTCTTTCCACATACTTTTACTCTCACTTCTCTCAGGAAAACTAACAACTGTTTTTTCTGTTTTTCTAAATGCAAATGGAAATGTGGTATTTTAAAAAGTGGTTTAACTATTGTTTTTGTTCTCTTTATCTAAATACATTCAAGGTTTTCATGTTTTCAAAAGAAAGGAAAAAACAGTTTTACTTAGCAAATAGTTTGTTTAAAAATAGTAAGCAATTTGCTAAATACCAATTATGTTACATATTGTTTTCTTTAGATAGCTCATATTTCTAATACTGAAACTATTATTCTTATCTCTCCAGAAGGAGGCTTGGCTGTTAGTGACAAAGGGCTTTTCACAAACCCATACTGCTTCTGTGCCAAAATGATTTCTTTTTCATTAAAAAAAAGCATAGGCTGCATATTCTGCAAAGGGGTTTTAATTTCTGGCATTTTAAATCTCTTCGGTAGTCAAAGTTGGAGCAGGGTAATTAATCACTGAGTTAGCAAACTGGTTTACATGTCATATTTAAATAATATAGGTATCCTAAAATTATCTAAGAATAATTGGAAATCAGATGTTTGTTACTTTTTTGGAAGTCAAACTAATTGCATTCACTTGATAAACAGCAAATTTGAAGTTGATCATTTTTATGATTCACGCACTTGTACTTTATATTCTTGAAAAATGAGGGGTTTGTTTTATTTTTTTCAGAACGGCAGTGCCACTGACACTGATCACGTGTTAGTACTTGCTGGTACTGAAACTCACTCGTTTTACCATTAAAAAAATTCATCACATAGAGCTGCTAACTTAAAAAGCTTGAACTCCAATAGTTCCCTGACCAAATAGTCTTTTCAAACTCTTAGTAATTGCATGTGAATAAACATAATATTTTAAAATAAGTTCATTAGATAACTTTTAATTTATTATTGACAACTATTCTCATTATTTGTGGACATATCTTACATGCTTTAGGTAAGCATAACATAGGTAAAAAAAGGTCTACAAGGATAACTGTAAGTGCAGGTAATTTGAAAAGTAATCAACTGCAGAAATACACTGTTACAGGTTAATTTGGGAGAATCTCAGACAATCATGACCTAACACTATTCTATACCTAATTAAGGTTTTGTTTGAGTTATTAACTTATTTTTGTTTTGGTGGGTATGAAAGACATAGGTAAAAATGATCTCCTCCCTTTTTATCCCAAACTCCCAATCACTGCAGAGAATTCGCTGCAGCAACAAGGAGTGATTTAAAATTTAAACACCCAGGACTACACTCACAGAAGCCACAAGAAGGCCTCATGCTTTAAGATAGAATGTGTAAATTTTATTACTTAATAATTGCAGTCATTACTGGACATTAGTATATTTTAGATTTCAAGTCATTATTAAGGTCCAGTTTAGAGAGAAAAAAACTCTTCAGAGACAATACATATTAATCTATACTTAATATTTGTTAACTAGTTAACACATACCGTGGTGAACAGATGCATTTCACAAATGGAATTCATAGTTGATGCGAGATTTCTCTAATTAACATGTCACAAGGACAACGGCATAGTATATTTCCCCCTAAATTTTAAGTATGTAGTAATGAAACATACCTTTTTCAAGTACCAATATTTTGCTATACTGAACTGCCAAAGAGAAAAACATGGGACAAAACAAACAAACAAACAAACAAACAAAAAAACCAACAGGTAAAGATAAAAGAAAGCACTCGTTATTCAGTGAGCTTTGCTTTTTAAATGGCATGATTGGAAAAGGTGGGAAATCTTGTGTCTGTGTACTGTCTTTTTAAAGAGCTTCTCCTACTAAGAGAATCTTTTCCACAGTTTCTTATGAGAATTTGCAAACAGATAGAAAAGTTGTGAACACCCATACAACAACCACCTAGACCCTGTAAGTAGCATTTTACTGTCCTCGTTTGATCGCATATACTAGTTCAATATGTCCAACTGCCCCCGCCCTGTTCCTCCATCAATCCATCTTCTCATTTTGATGCATTTTAAAATACTGTAGATGTTAGTGCACTTTACCCCTAAGGATATGCTTACTTCAGTGTTTAAGTGGAATTCAGTGTTTGTGTGCAGTGCTTTCCTTTAAGGAAAATTTATATATGAGAAAGACAGAATTTTGAAAAACACCATCCTGTTATTCCTTATGAGGCTGTCACTATTTCTTCAACATGATGAGCTGCTGGATGCAAACTCTTATATTCTGTGTTTTAACTTGGAAGGTACAAATCCCATGTTTATGGTGGAGGGATGTGGGCCCTTCCCAGTCTCAACCCCCATCGCCCAGGTAAGCCCTCACCCACTGAGCAGCGGACACTGGAAACTCAGCGTCAGCACTGGGATAAAAGAGGTGCCAGAGCGTACACAGTCAATTCCCAAGGTCCCTTCCCAGGCTCAGAACAGGCTTTACACTCTCTCCCCTGCAGGCCCCTGAGAACGAACCCACTTGCCTTTGAACAATCACCAGCTATTTTTCTACCTGGGTTCTTCTCTTCCCCTTCCCTTTACTCCCCTGCTTTGCCCAACCAGCCTCTCTTTTCTATTTCCACCATACTCCTAATTTTTCTTTCCCAGAACAAGGGAACAAATTTCTTCATTTTTCAAGTCATTCTACAACATTCAATTTCAGGGAAAATGTTATGGGAAGCAAAGATGGGGATTTAAAGAACAAGAACTCTTAAAGGGCTTAGGAATTGTTTTTTCTTTGGTCTTAATAAAAATATAAATGAGCTAAAGATTGCCCTCTCAAGACCGTTTCCTACATTCATCTCTTGGATTTGGTCTTGTGGATGCAATTTATCCATTCCTCTCTTAAATGAACCCTAGACCAGGCTTCTCAAAGATTATTATTGATGTAGCTCTTAGGAATGAGGACATTCTCCATGCTTCCACTCTCTGCTAAGCTTTGTAGACTGCAGCATCACTAGCTGGTCGATTGTACTTCCACCCAGTAGCAGCAGGAGGCCTGCCTTTTAAGTTATACCCCTGGCCCTGACCTTCGGGTAAGGGTAAGGAAATTCTCAAAGCCCTCTTTCCCCAGGCTTTGGTCCAAGCCCTCATGATAATCACTTTCTAGGTGGCTCCTCCCTCAGGCTGTCTCTCTTCATTCAGTTCAGCATGCCGAAAGCTTTCACTAGATATTAGATGAAGATATCATTACATGGTTACTGCTAGGTCTATCTTATGCTGGAATTCCACCAATTTGCCTGTTTAGTATTAATTGGTTATTACCAACTGATTAAGAATGTAGGTTCTGTAGGAAGACTGGACACTTAATGAGTGCATTATTCCAGGCCAAGTTAGTGAACCACTTTGAAGCTTCATTTCTTCAAGGATTACTGTATTGAATTACATTTACATACATTATACAATATGTATAAAATTGTATATAAATAAAATGTGTGGATATGATATGTAGTATATTTATAATATACAATTGTATATAAATTGCATGTTATATAATTATATATAAATAATTTATAAATAAAATGTATGCTATGTATTATATAGAATTATATGACACTTTGATATATGCAACATATTTAGCACAGTGCCTGGCACCTACTTGGTACTCATTATACAAGGGGGGACCTAAATAAAACTGGAATTATCTTCTGGAGTGCAGGCCCCTTGTAGTGCAGGCTTCCCCCGCTAGGTGAGTGTTCTAGGAACTCACGTGTATCAGTGTACCAGTTGGCGTTGTTGTAAGAGGCCGTATTTGGCTTCAGTGAATTTTGTTTTTGAAGACTAAACATGTTTGCCCGTTTCATGATAGGTGATTTACGAGTGCACCTGCTCACACCACACTGAGTGTTCAGCAGTTTTTGACCAAAAATGGCATGACCCCCATGCCCCACCTTCCCTATTCACCCAATCTCGCCCCAAGCAACTTTTTTTGTTCCTCAGATGAAATTCAAAGGCAAGCATTTTGCTGATGTGAAAGAGGTGAAACAAAAGCAGAAGCCCTACAAGGCATTACAATCAACAAATTCAAAAATTGAGCAGTGTAAAAAACATCTCAATAGGTATATTGCATCAAATAGAGAGTACTTTGAAGGTGACTTAAATTTAAACATGTAAGAATACATAATTTTTATACATAAATTCCAGGTGTTTCGGGTCCCCCCTAGTATATTAGTGTCGTCATCATGTTATCATGTCAACAGAAGGTGCCATCAGCAGAGAACTCAACTGGTCCTCCATCAGGTGGGGCCATGTAATGGATCCTGGCAGACTGCCCACACTTCCTATGTCCAGATTTGCTTATCTTGATGAACCTCCCATTAAAGTTCCTCCTTTTCCTAAAGTCTAAAAATGCCCTTGGTTTTCAGATCAGGATGGAGCAGAAGTGACCAGTAGAATCAGTGAACGATCAAGCTCTTCTCTGTGGGTGCTCCAGGTTTCCCTCCAGTGTCCCCATGAGACTACCCTCATTCTCTCAGCATTCTATAGTCCAAAATCAATTGCAAGAATAAGTACAAGCATAAGTTTAATTTGATTTTTACAAAAGGGGGGAAAGAGGGTTATTCCTTTTAGGAGAGCCAAAGAGTAGCTTCATAGAGGATTAATTTCTACCACATTGTCTCCTAACCCTTTCTATCCCAGAAAATGTAGGATCTACCAGAGAAATAAAGTTTTCGGTGAGAAGGCCCTCTTCCCTGGGGCCCTCTTTTGAGACCTGTGTTTCAGAGGGCCCTGCTCTGCCCCCCCACTGTCATTCCCTGTCACAGCCCTCCCCATGGGATATGAAGTCAATGGTCGAGGGGCACATCCTTCCAGAGCCTGTGCCTCACCGTGCTCCCAGAGCATGCTCCCGGTGCCCAGACTCGGGAGGCCTGTATTCCCACACACACGTACCAGCCCCTCTGGGACCTGCATGACTGAGAGGGAATTGGTGCTGCCAGTGTACGCACTCCTAGGCCTGAGAGGTGGCCGGAGGAGGCTGCTGGGGAACAGTGTCAGGTGGGCGGGAGCACCACCTGTGTTTGAGAAGCTGTTCCTAATGCAAGAAAGAGCTGGGAGTGGGCAGAGGAGGGGGTCAGGCCAGAGGCACCTGTCCATACTACTGCCACATTCTGCCAGGGGAGAATCCTAGGCTTAATTCTGGTCTTAGGAAGGTGTAGTTGTCAAGGTAAGAGAGTAGAATTTATTGTATTCAACATCATGTTGGCTTGATTTGTATTTTTTAAATATTTAGGAATATGATATATATGGAGTCCTCCATTTATACTCATGCAATATATATAAATTCTTTATGATCTGTATGTAAAAAGTGAAATTAACTCTCTTGCTCTTGCTCTCTCCCTCTCCTGGCATATCAAACAAGTAAACTGGTTGTACTTGTACTGGTTAAATACAAACAAGTTGTACTTAACCTAGCTAGAAAGCCAGCAGCTGGTGGAATTAGGTGGGTGATGGTTAGGATCACCCCTCTGAAGGATAGGGACCCACAGGACCGTTTTACTGAGCTACCTGAAGACACAATCTCTTTCACTGCACTGAATTCAACAATCAGTACTGAAATAGGTGAGCGTAAAACAGAGAACTTCAAATAGAAGGAGAGTCATTGTTTCATAAAATAAATTCTGGAATAAATATGACAATTTTCTCAGTTGGGCAACCAAAAGAACATTGAAGGGACAAAAAGAGACTCAGACAGTGTGGAGAGGGGATGTGCCGGGCCGGCAGGTGATTCCCACAGGGGAAACGGTGGGTCTGTCAGCGTCGCTCAGTCCAGCATGAAAAGTCTGAGGTTTGAATGCCGAGTTTGTTGCTCACTGTCTGTGTGGCCTTTGATGAGGTTTTAATCCCCTTTGTCCCTCAGTTTTCTCATACATGAGGAGGGCAGACTTATCCCTCCTCATAGGGTAGGAGTGAGGATTAATTTACTTAATGTTTGCAAAATACTCGGGAGCCTGGCCGGTGTATAGTAGGTGCTGGAGAAGAAACTAACGTCCAGAGAGATTGTTGAGCTGCTCCCAGTCACACAGTGAACTCACAGAAGATTCACCGTCCAACACAGCATAAACATATTAGGCCTGTTTCTAAAAGTTGCACGTTGCCTAAGAGCTGATGTTGGCCCAAATAAAATATGTATTTTTGTCTTTTATTAGATCTCTAAAGAAGAAGCAAAAAGACCTTAAAACTTACTGTAGTGCAGTGGCCCTGATAAATGTTTAAGTTTTGTCCTGCCCTTTCTGTGTGTTCTGTGCTGCTCCCCACAGCGTCACTCCCTTTTCAGGTTAGCTTCGTATTCCCAGACAATTAGTCTGTCCAGACACAGATCATACTTCACCCGAGTGTGTTCCCTTCAGAAAAAAGGCTGATACCACATGCACACACACGCATACACACACACACACCATCATGGCACTATGCACTGAGTATCGTTACAAAAGTAATGCAAATATCTGGGGGAAAATTGGGAAAATGCACAGAAGCATAAAAGGGAAAATAAACCTCAATCATAATCCTACTACTCTTGTGACAAGCACTGATTTTTCTAATCTATAATCACACGTGTGTGTGTAAATAAAGTCTAAAGGTTGGACTTAAATTGCATATTCTGCTTTGCAACTTACTTTTTAAGAGTGAGTATATGAAGAGTGTGTTTCCAAATCACTGAAACAGTTTTTAAAAACAGAGCCCTTTAATTACTGTATATTATTTCAATATATAACCCCATTAGAGGGATATTTAAGTTTCTCCAGATTTTTACTATTATAGGTGTAATTGAATGACATTAAAAAGTTAACGTGACAGAATACATTGAGAATAAACTTGGCCTGTTTCCTAGGCTGTAGGTTCATTATAAAATAACAGGTCTTTCTTTCTTTCTCTTCCCAAGGACCCCCACGGGACTCTGAGCCCCGGCCATCTGGACTGGGTCCCAGGGGCAGCTGACAGGCCCTGTTTTTGTGTGCTCTGGGAGGTGAGTCAGCTGGGAGTTCCAAATAGGGAAGGGTTAAAGGCTTTGAACTTCCAGAGTCAGGCAGGAAGAGGGCCAGTGTAGAAGCAAAAGGGTGAGCTAGTCCCACACGAGGGAGGGACGAGGTGAGGGTTTCTCAGGGGGGGAAGACATACTCAGGAGTTGGGGGTGGCATCCTGGAGGAATCAAAACTTGGAATGGCCCACTCCACATTCCCATGGGTGAGTTTGGTCCAGATGGTTTGATAACACCAGCAGGGGTGCTAGCCTTTACAACACATACCAAGTCTAGAGAGTGAGACTCCCAGGAACCACCCTTCCTAAACTCTTATACTGCTTAAGCCCAAGGATTCCCTACAATCCGAAGGGATGGAAGAGGAAAACAAGAACTCAGGAAAATGACTGAGCTTCCCACCAACCCTAGCTGATGGTGACTAACCAGACTTAATTTGTTTAGAAAGATTATATGGTGCCCAAGCATCAGGCAGACTTCACTATTTTTGTATGTGCAACTTAGTATGTTTGACTGTCTGCTTAGGATAAATTCTTAGAAATGTACGTACGAAAACAGGAGTCCAAATAGCTTAAGGCTTTTTATATATATCGTGTCTTATTTATAAGTTTCTGTATTTTCCAAGTCCACTGATTCTTCTATTTATCCCTCACAAAAGATTAAGGAAAAACAGAATAAGCAAAATTAGCCAAGCTAATTGATCATTAAGTATAAATTTCCATTTATAATCTACTTTATCCCAAAGACTTCAATTACTGGATGACTATATTGATGAACCCAAAAGATAGTTAATCATTAAGTATGTAAGCAAACAACATAAATTTCCACCTGAGAAATTGACATATACTTTATCAGTTATGCAGACTGTCAGAAAATTATCTAAAGACCTGGAGACAGACACTAGGATACACAGAAGCAAGGCTGAACCGGCCCTGCAAAACCTGCTGCAAATCTCTTATGTCTTCTCAATCAACCTAGAGCAAGACCCCACTCCTTGGCAGGCTTTCCAGTTGTATGACCGTGGGCAAGTCACTCAGCCCCTCTTCCATAAGCAATGGGTAGTACCAGGACTGATTCCTGGGTTCTTGGGAGAATTAAAAGTGTTAATACGGGGGATGTACTAGAAAAGCGCCTGGCACTCGGGAGCACTGTGCAGATACCCCTCATGCGAGGACAGCGTGCCGTCCAAGATGTGCCTCCTTCCTGAGCCTCCCGTGCAGGCTGCCTCTGCTCTCTTCACCATTGGCTCCAGCTTACTAACATACTGGCTGCACTCTCTTACTCTCATTTTTCTAGTTTTTGTACCCTGGAATGACCTTTACCCCTCCGTTTCCTAGTGAATGCTCCTGTCATCCTTCCAGATTGAGCTCCTCTGCTATCCCTCTCCCTGCAAAACCCTCCAGTCTGAGCTGGGTGCATTTCTGATGTTCACTTAGGAGATTTGGCAGAGTATATTTTAATTGCCCATTTGTGTGCTGTGCCCCACCCCCAGGTGAGCTGCCTGCATGCAAGGAACAGGCCAGGTTTATTGTTGTGTCTCCAGGGTCCAGCCCTGTGGGACCATCACAGATATTCAACAATCATTCGCTGAATGACTACGCTTGTCATAGGGTCACTGGGGAAAGAATGGACTGTTTATATTTGTAGAGTGTTTTTAAGCATTTCCACAAACATCTCATTTGATTTGTGTGGAAAAACTAAGCAAGGATAACTTCCCTTTTTCCGTATATCAAAACTGGCTCAGGGAAGGGAAAGGCCTTGGCTAAGATGTCTAGCTAGGGAGAAGAGAAGCCCAGTTCCTCTCACTCCCCTCTGGCAGGACACGGCTCTGTCTTTCTAGAGCAGTCTCTAGGAGACACTGTGTGCTTTTGACTTAGGGCTGATCTCTCCAAGTAGGAGTTATAAGAAAATTAGAAATGGCCGCATAAAACCTAGAGACCAATGAGCTGGTTGGCAACGTGGAGTAGACTGCTGAGGCAAAGGAATAAAGGCCAGATTTTGGAGAGGGCTGTGGGAAGGTGAGAGAAGGGGCCAGGGATGTGCCCTGCCTCTGTGCTGGAGAAGTGGATCAGAGGTTCTTGCCACCATTTTACTAGGGCATTAGAGCAACACCAGCTGTTCCGGTCCCCTTTCCTTCCTGCTGGCCTCTCTGGGCCTCTGGACGTTAAAACCTGCTGTGGCACATGGAGGTGGTTCAGGGTTCGCCAGCCAAATGGCAAGTGGCTGCCTGCCCCCCACTTTCCTCCAATCCACTGTGAAGTTTCCACTCAGAAGCTGTGATCAATGTCCCACCAGATAACTTTCTCTGCTAAATTGCCATACTTGGGTTTCAGAAAATTGGTGAGGCAAGAAGGATCCACTCTCGACCACGGTTGTGTTTATGCTCAAGAAGAATGAATGCTCCTCAGAATCTCATGCCCCAGATACCAGTACGAAAGGGTCTGTGACAGACAACGCTTAATTTCATTATCCCTCCCTGGAGTCTTTTATTAAATTATGTTTTATGAGAAGTTTTGTATGGTTAGCTGAGATATTCTTTCATGCTGCCTTTAATTTTCAGTCCTTCCAGTTTTGCTTTGCTTTACATATTATTTTCCAATTTTAAACCACTCTCATATTAAGTTGTCTCATTTGTTTCTTACACCCTTGAACTTGGAGCACACAGAATTTAACCTGATTTAAGGTTATGCAGACGATGAGCAAGCAGATCAGGAACTCTGCTCCTGCTTGCAGACGTAGGGGTGTTTCCTCACTGCTCCGTGGACATGCCCCCAGGACCCATCTGACTCCCGGTCTCGGGCTCACCTGTGGGACACTTAGTGGAAGTATGGGTTAGCATTCCTACAACTTAAAGGTTTCTGAAATGAAATTTTGAAGATGAAAGGTTCAGGGAGGAAAGAACCAAATGAACTTTTATACCAAGTTAACAAAGGCAGAGTACTATTTTAATTCTTACACTATTAGCATTAACTGTTTTGCCAAAGTAATTGTAAAGGATCAAGAATTGTAGTCTTAAAAAAGATTTCATGCATTTACCGTGATGAAACTTTACAATAAGGCCAGTTGATAGCAGGAAGGCAGCAAGATACTGGGTAAAAAGTGTGGAACATGGAGTGAAAAAGACCTGGCATTCAACCTGGCTGCCACAGACTGTCTGTGTGACCTCGAGAAGTTGTTTATTTCTCTGGGCCTTAGTTTCTCAATTTTTACAGTGTAGATAATAACAGTTACTTTGTAATGTTGTGAGGGTTCACAATAGCTTATACCTCTAAGACTTCGAATACCAGCTCATAAGCAGGTGCTCAGTAAAAATCTGTTGAATGGATGACATGAATTTGAGAAAACTTACAGAACACCTTGCATAGAGCCTGGTGCACAAGGAAAACAAGAAGCTTCAGCTATCAAAACTCTACAGAAGCACTAGAAGCAAAGAAGTTTCCCTGAACTAACCTAGTAATGTAATAAAAATAAATGTGTAAGAAAGAGATGATTTGTTTCATTGTTGTGAAACCAATCCCAATTCTCCTTCTGGTCATTTAAAAGAACAGAGGGGGTGAAAGTATCTTTTAGATCATCTTTAACAGTGGTTAGGAAAAGGGACTTTACCCCAGTCTTCCTCATGCTTTCTGGCTGACGAGTATAGGCTAGCCAGAATCTCTGGTGGGTTTCTGAAGTTCAGACCCCTGGTACATCAAAATTGCATCACATTTGCAAATCTTGTGTAAGTTCACAATGCTACATTGTCTTCTCTGCCCCAGGGCATGAACGATTGTCTGGAAAAGGTTAGTTGTTGCCATTACGGAACCTGGTGCAGCCAAGAGTACAGTGTAATGTGAAGCAGAAATAAACCCTGGGCTCTCTGCACATTTGCCAAGTAATTTACAAATGTGTTTACTTAAGAAGTAAGCATAACACATGATCTTGTATAATATTATGTCTAGGAAAGTTTTGTGACTCTGCTGTAAAATGCCCACATCGTATTCGAGTAATTACTTCACATCCACCTAATAGGGTCTTAGATCAATTTTTAGCTTTATCCAAATGCATTTTGGTAAACTAAACAAATCTTGATTTCCTGATGTTTTACTTATACCTCATTTATCCAGTTGTTTTTTTTTTTCTTGACATACCTGAAACTAGTCTTGAATAATAAGAACAGTATTACCCTTAGAACCTCTAAAAGCAAAGTGCCATTGGAATTTCTCCAGTGAAGTAGATGGAAGGGGAGAAGGACTGGCGGAGAAGGGGTAACCCCCTTGTGTTGTTTGTATTCCACGGTGCTTTAAGAGGTAGGGGATGCATAGCTTTGAAATAGTGAATAAAATAACAATAGACCTAACAAAATCACCAGCTCCAGGCTTCAGGCAGCTGAATGTCTAAATCTTCTAAGACACATAATATTGAATATTTCTCAGCTTGCAGATCTTCGAGGACAGAGGCATCCTTGTCTGCCTCGGTAGCATGACTGGACGGTTACCATGTTTTTGTAGCCCAGGCTGAGCTGCGCAGTTGGTTGGAGTGTTGTCCCATGCACCAGAATGTTGTGGGTTCAATCCTAGGTCAGGGCACAAACCCACATTGTGGGTTTGACAACCAGTCAGGGCATGTGTGGGAGGCAACCAGTAAATGTTGCTGTCTCACATCGATGTCTCTCTCTCTTTCTCTCTTTCTCAAATCAGTAAAAATATCCTCAGGTGAGGGTTAAAAATTTGTTTTCTATCTCCAACTGATACTTCCTTTGTATTCCAAATGATAAATGGAAAATAATCAATCAGTCTTCTGTGGCAGACAAGTAGATTGATTTACACCCATTCCTAATCACTTTTTCCCTTCCTGTCTCTGCCATAGAAGCTGGGAAAGTTAACTATTCACTTTCCAGCTTCCTTTGTAGATAGAAGGGATGATGTGGAAATTCAGGCCAATGCTCAGTGGATCTGCTGGGGGTGGTGATGGAGCAGGGGTCTGGATAAGCTTTGTTTCTCTGATAAAGC